TCTTCTTCTTCTTCTTCTTCTTCTTCTTCTTCTTCTTCTTCTTCTTCGACATTTAACCCACAGGCTGTCCTTTTCAAAACAACACCAACTTATGGTTGGATTCTTTTTTTATCCCTCTTGTCTTTGTAGTTTCTATTACATGTATTATGCTCTGATCGCTGTCATCTTTTCTTCTCGACAACTATGAAATTAACTGGACTTCTTTAATGAGCTTCTTGGACTTTGCAGTTAGGTTTATCATTTGAGATGCCCCCTTTTTTTGTCACATTTGTCACAATAAACTTCCTTTAAGAACCAGTTTTGCCACATTTCATTAGTTTGGTATGTTATTTCCATTTGGGCCTCGAAGCAGGTTTTGTTTTTTGCTTTTTGTTTTTTTTTACTTTCATTTTTGATTTTTTTGTTGACTCATTGACTGTACGGGAGACTTCCCTTCTGTTTCAGCCTGTTTTCTTGGTTCCCTCCTGCTATTAACTTTTAGTCTTATTACATTCGAAGTGATGCTTAAATATTTCAATTTCAGTCTAAGTCTATGAAGTCTCACTTTCTGGCCTAAGAAGATATTTTTGTTGTTTTTTTTTTTTTTATTCTTCTGTTGTGGGATGAAATGTTCTAAAAAAAAATGTTAATTCAGTTAATCTTAAAATGTAGATCATATTCATCATGTTTTAAAAATTCTTTCACATTATTCCTTCATAACTATTGATATATGATTGTATGTATTTGTCAAAAAAAAAAACACACATCATACTCATACATCAACATACACAACAATGGAGAAGCAAACCAGAACAGTGGTTTTCTCTTAATTTATCAAATAAGTAAGATTATATCCATTAGAATATGCATTGATTTTTATTTTCATTAAATGTGTTTGTAACATAGTTCCATATCAGTTAATCATCCGTTTGGATGGTTCTATAGCCCTCCATTTTGTTGTTAATGTAGTATTACTTAACAAATTTCCAAAAGTAAATATTTGTGTTTTTTTTTATTTTTTTACTTTTTTATTTTAATTTTTATTAAAATTTTTATTAAAAATTTTATTACACTTTATTCACTTTGTATCCCCCCCATAAACCCTCCCTCCTCCCCTCCTAATCCCACCTTCCTTCCCCTTATCACCTATGCTCCTCCCCAAGTCCACTGATAGGGGAAGTCCTCCTTTCCTTCCTTCTGATCTTAGTCTATCAGATCGCATCAGGAGTGGCTGCATTGTCTTCCTCTGTGGCCTGGTAAGGCTGTTCCCCCTTCAGGGAGAGGTGATCAAAGAGCAGGCCAACCAGTTCATGTCAGAGGCAGTCCCTGTTCCCATTACTATGGAACCCACTAGGAGACTGAACTGCAATGGGCTTCATCTGTGCTGGGGTTCTGGGTTATCTCCATGCATGCTACTTGGTTGGAGTATGAGTCTCTGGAAAGACCCCTGTGTTCAAATTGTTGGTTCTGTTGCTCTCCTTGTGGAGCTCCTGTCCTCTCTATATCTTCCTGTTTCCCACTTCTTACATAAGATTCCCTGCACATTGCCCAACAGTTGGCCATAAGTCTGAGCGTCTGCTTTGATAGTCTGCAGGGCAGAGCCTTTCAGAGGCCCTCTGTGGCAGGTTCCTAACTTGTTTCCTGTTTTCTTCTTCTTCTGATGTCCATCCTCTTTGCCTTTCAGGATAGGGATTGAGCATTTTAGCCAGAGTCCTCCCTCTTGATTAGTTTCTTTAGGTGCACAGATTTTAGTAGGTTTATCCTATATTATGTCTATATGAGTGAGTATATACCGTGTGTGTCTTTCTGCTTCTGGGATAGCTCACACAGGATGATCCGTTCCAGTTCCCACCATTTACCTGCAAATTTCATGATTTCCTTGTTTTTCATTGCTGAGTAATATTCCATTGTGTAAATGTACCACAATTTCTGTATCCATTCTTCAGTTGAGGGGCATCTGAGTTGTTTCCAGCTTCTGGCTATTATAAATAAAGCTGCTACAAACATGGTTGAGCAAATGTCCTTATTGTGTACTTGAGCCTCTTTTGGTTATATGCCTAGGAGTGGTATAGCTGGATCTTGAGGAAGCACTATTCCTAGTTGTCTGAGAAAGCGCCAGATTGATTTCCAGAGTGGTTGTACAAGTTTACATTCCCACCAGAAGTGGAGGAGGGTTCCCCTTTCTCCACAACCTCTATTGTAATGAGAATGTGTCATTGTTTGGCAAGTATAACACTAACTAGAGAAATACTGTAATGAGAATTTCTCATTGTTGGACAAGTATAACACACACACACACACACACACACACACACACTTCTGCAAAGACAGATTGTAAAGACCAGATTTGGCCAAAATTGTAGTACCTCTTACTAATGCTGAGATTATGTCATTGTGAGTAATCAGTTAAAATTGTCAAAGAGCTTATAATACCTATTTTGGAGAAATTAATAATAAATATCCAAAAAATAAATGTATACAGATTATAAAAAGAACTAATTGGATTTTTCCACATATTGCAAAGAGAACACCAGCTCCAGAAGCACCAGCATTCTATACTGATGCAAATAAAGTGAGAATGGCAGGTTAAGTCAGACAAAATAAGCAAGGTGATCAAAAGCCCATATACTTGAGTTCAAAAGTCAGAATTGTATGCAATCCTTAGGTTATTATTAGATTTCCCTGAATCTCTTAATCTAGTTACTGACTCTCAATATGGAGAAATGGTTGTTTTACATATAGAAACTGCTGATTTTATTCCTGATAACTCAGAATTAACTTTGTTATTTATGGAATTGCAACGGGCCATCAGAAGTAGAAACTATCCATTATATATTACTCATATCCAGTCTCATACAGGTTTGCCAAGTCCATTGGCACCAAGAAATGGGGAATTTGGAAAATTACTAATAGAGAATGTATCAGAAGCCTCAAATTTTCATGAGAAACATCGTGTTAACAGTAAAGGTTTACAGAATCCATCACAATCTAAAGAAATAATGAAAAATTGTTCTATGTGTTCTCTGTATAATCAAACTCCATTACCTGCTGGAAATAACCCTAGGGGTGCCAAAAGAAATGAAACCTGGCAGATGGATGTGTTTCATTTTGCAGAATTTTGAGGACTAAGGAAAGTACACCATATTATTGATACCTACTCAGAGTTTCAGTGGACAACATCTTTAAGTTCTGAAAAGGCTGATTGTGCAATAACACATTTTTTGGAAATAATGGCAAATGTGGGGATACCTGTACAAACTAAGACTGATAATGTTCCCACATATGTATCCAATAAGAAATAAGCATATTATATGAGGAATAAGCATATTCTTTGCATATTATACTATAAAGCACATTACTGATATACCACACAATACTACAGGACAAGCAGTTGTAGGAAGATCTAATCATACCTTAAAAGAGATGCTTATTAAGCCAAAAGGAAGAGTAAAGATCCCCAGAGACAGACTAAATAATGCTCTGTTAACTTTAGATTTTCTTAATGTTGGTGAAAAAAGAACAGCAGCTGAGAGACACTGGGTTATAGAAAAAACTAAAGAGGTAGGTCAACCGATATACTATAGATGTGTTGACATTACAATGAAAACCTGCAGTAGTTTTAAGATGGAGACGTGGTTATGCTTATGTACCTACAGGGAATGGAAAAATATGGTTACCAACAAAACTTACAAAGATTAGATCTGAACAGGGAAGACGTCCTTTCAGCTGAGACATGAATGTCTTTGCAAAACAAACAAGGCCAGATGATTCAGCCTCACAGACTGCCTCAGTTACTGATTTCTCAAAAATCTGCATGCGAACCAATTTCAAAAGGACCCTCCCAAATGATGGATTCCATAGAGACTGGACAGAAAACACAGAGACTGGACAGGAATAAAAGTACAGCTTGCCTTCCTGGGACTTGACCAATATCCCAATTTTCATAGAGTACCCTAAAGATGTCTTTGCCCCCCAGAAAAATAATTTTAAGAACACGACACTCCCATTTTCAAAAGGTGGGGTGGATTTTTGTTGTTGTTGTTCATTTTATGTGTTATGGCTGTTTGTTGCTGTCTAGGGTGGTTGGTTATAAGTTGTTATTGGTTATGACAAGGGAGAAAACAAAATAAAGTTAAAATCAGGGATCTCTTTCTTTCTCCCCTCTATTTTTCTTTTTCTCTTATCTTTCTCTCTTATCTACTGATGGGGAAAAGGGATGATTAAAAAAAGAGGGGAGATATAGGATGCTAGATGACATTAGAATGCATTATTGTATATTGACAGATATTTAACGTTTTGTCTATTATTTAACTGTATATTGAAATGTAATGTTATTTTGTTTAACTATTGTTAAATTATTGTATATTGATAATTATTGTTAATGTATTTTATATAAGCAGCTCATTTAAAATGTGATGTAAATCTCTAATTTTATAATTATTCTTATTATATATAGTTTATTAATGTTAGAGAAAAACTTTTTTTTTGCAAAAAGGGGGACATGTGGTGGAAATTTTGATTGTATTCCATGGATACATTTTTGTTGTAGTCCCAAGTATGGTATATGGAATGCTTTGCTCATAGCTGATAGCAGCCTCATGAGGGATGAGTGATCTTTGTCAGCTGATAAACAGCTTCGTGAGAGGGCAAGTGATTCTTGTTAACAGGAAACTACCTCATGCAAGGTGTGTGTGGGGGGTGGTTGCCAGCTAAAAAACCTCCTGGTACGGACTCTGAGAAGGTATGAATAGGAGCCTGGGGGGGGGGGGGGCGTTTCACTTTGTTTGGCTTCTAGACAGAAAAGCTCCATAGAATTCTCGTCACTTTTGCTGAACTGTGCCACTGCTGCTGATGATCCTTGTTGCTGATTTTGCTGTTGCTGGATTAATGGATTCCTGGATTGCTGGATTATTGGTTTGCCAGATTGCTGCTTTGCTGGTTTTCTGGACTGCTAGATATCCTGAGAACAAAGAGTGGCATCATCCCAAGGAACTACACCTAAAGAGGTCTACATTCCCTGTCCCTACTAACCTCCCTTCTCTCCTACCTAGGGTCAGGGGTTTGAAGCTTGGTAGAGGTGCTTAAGACTCTACTAGCAGGAAGTAGTTAAAGAGAACTACACACCCTCTCCCCAATAACCTTCTTTCTCTCCTACCTGGTATTGTGGTATTGGAAGAAATTTGGGGGAAAGGGAGAAAGAGACATAAAGAACCCTAAATAACGTAGGTTTTTAAAAAGTCAAACCTAAAATGCAGAATAAGAATCCCTCTTCCAGGAAATCATGAAATTTGCAGGTAAATGGTGGGAACTGGAAAGGATCATCCTGTGTGAGCTATCCCAGAAGCAGAAAGACACACACGGTATATACTCACTCATATAGACATAATATAGGATAAACCTACTAAAATCTGTGCACCTAAAGAAACTAATCAAGAGGGAGGACTCTGGCTATAGTGCTCAATCCCTATGCCGAAAGGCAAAGAGGATGGGCATCAGAAGAGGGAGAAAACAGGGAACAAGTTAGAAGCCTGCCACAGAGGGCCTCTGAAAGGCTCTGCCCTGCAGACTATCAAAGCCGACACTCAGACTTATGGCCAACTGTTGGGCAATGTGCAGGGAATCTTATGTAAGAAGTGGGAAATAGTAAGATCTGGAGAGGATAGGAGCTCCACAAGGAGAGCAACAGAACCAAAATATCTGGGCACATGAGTCTTCCCTGAGACTGATAGTCCAACCAAGTAGCATGCATGGAGATAACCTAGAACTCCTGCACAGATGTAGCCCATGGCAGTTCAGTCTCCTAGTGGGTTCCATAGTATGGGAAGAGGGACTGCCTCTGACATGAACTGATTGGCCTGCTCTTTGATCACCTCTCCCTGAAGGGGGAGCAGCCCTACCAGGCCACAGAGGAAGACAATGCAGCCACTCCTGATGAGACCTAACAGACTAGGATCAGAAGGAAGGAGAGGAAGACCTCCCCTACCAGTGGACTTGGGGAGGGGCATGCATGGAGAAGGAGGAGGAAGGGAGGGGTTGGGAGGGGAGGAGGGAGGGAACTACAGGGGGGGATACAAAGTGAATAAAGTGTAATTAATAAAAAATTAAAATAAAAATAAAATGCTTAAAAAGAAAGAATCCCTGTTCCAGCTGGTTTTGAAAAACAAAATCTATATATACTTTAAGATGTTTGAATAAATTTATAGTTTTTGAGTTGATGGCATATTAGAATTTCCATTGCTGTGTGCTCTTTGAAAATACGGTAACTGAAAATTATTACCTCGGCCAGTGAGGTAATTATTACCTGGCTCAGTAGGTGAAGGCCCTCACCATCTCACCCGGAGTCTTGCATCCGGTTCCGGGAATCTACATGACAGGAGAGAGCTTCTACAAGCTGACTTTGACAAGCCATCTTCTGATCTCCCACCTACTCACTGTGACACTCAGACCCCCTCATTCCCGTCCCCACCCAATAGGAATACATTTAAAATTAATAAAATAAAAATGGCTACTTCGCTTTTATGTTTGATTTACATTCTTAAGCCCAGTAACATTGAACAGACGGTATCTTTATTAATCCCTTAATGTTATTTTTTTCCTGGTGTCTGGCTATTTATAAATTTTTCTGTTGGGAACCTCTGGAGAGGGAGGAAGATGATGCTTTTTCTTGTACATCAACATCAGCATGGTTGGTATTGCTCTTCCTCTGACTTTCTGGGTGGCTTTGACATGCATGAAATGTATAATTTGTCTACACTCGCATTTATCAGTATTTTTCATTATGCCTTGGATTCAGATATTGATACAATGCACCACCCTGGTTCCAGTGTTATTTTTCATATTCCTTTATTTGATTATTTGACCCTCTAATACATACGTTTTACTTTCTATGTTTTATTTATCTTATGATAGTGAACAAACCTCGCTTTACTCCTAGTCAATATATAATAATGTTTATGTATTGTTGGATTATAGCTACTGATTTTTTTTTTCAACAGATTCAAGGATTTTCTCCAACGAAGATTACTTGCGAAGAACTCACTTTTGTGACTGTATCCAACTTAACTAAACTTTTTTTTTTTTCTTACTTTCTTGACTTCCAGAATTTTTCACTCTGGTTTATACTATTCTAAATACTTCTTTAATACACCAAGCTCTTTGATGAGAGCACTGCAGCTGTAATCTGTGTTGTGTGCATGCAGTCCTCAAGAATTCATTATCCTTGAGACACTATGTTACCGATAACTGTGTATTTGGTCCGATCTCAGAACTTTCTTTCCTGTGGAAGTTCATTTTTCCTACTCTTTCAGAAGTGGCCCAGGGCGGTTCGTCTCGGTCCCCAGAGCGCCCTCTTCTGTTGCTTTGGTGAAATGCTGGGCGACTGGCCACTTGTCTGTTTCCCACCCTATAGCCTTCATTCCTTGGTCTGTTTTGTTTCTACGATGCTCTAATTAGATTCCACTTTGAGCAGTTTCTCCAGGAGGTGGGTCCTCTCCCAAATGGCAGTTATGGGTTCTTGATGTGACGTTTCTCTGATAGCACACTATTGTAAGCCCCCCTGGAGTTCACAGAGGCCCTGTCCCACAGCCCACCATTTCAATGGGCAGAAGCCACACCATCTTGAATGAGCTGCTGCTCTGCTGGCCTTTCCAGTTGATACCTTGTCTATTAGAGAGTTCTTTTGTCTTCAGGGCTGTATGCTTTTCTTTCTTCTCCTCTGGATATTTCTCTTCCTTTGCTTCAGCAATTAGTGAAACTTCCTAATGTTGTAGAAAACCTTACAGTTTGTATATATCTTAACCCAATTCATAGTGTATAAATTATCCAGGAGATTAAATAAGATGAATATTAGAAGCTGTTAAAATAAGAAAAAAATGACATAGGAAAACTGAAAGGGAGAACTGAAAGTGGGAAATTCCTCTGAAGCAGAGAGGACCATCCCTTATAAATAGCTGAGGCCATGGAGGAAGAACATCCTCACTGCAGCCTTTGGCAGCCTTCGCCTCATCTTGCAGGTAGCAGTCAACAACAGACCGTCTCCCATCATGACCGACAGGTGGATCCATCATGTTGCGCTCCTGCTGTGCTTCTTCACCACAGCCCTCTCCATCAACTACGAACAGCTTCAGCTCCAACAAAGCAGCAGCACTTCGGCATGCCAGGAGCTCCTGAGGCAGCTGGATCAAGAGCTCTGCCTCAACGACAGGCTGGACTTCAAGATCCCTGTGGCGGTGAAGCACCCACAACAGATGGAGAAGAGTTATACTGCCTTCGCCATTCAAGAGATGCTCCGGAACATCTTTCTTCTCTTCAAAAACGATTTCTCCAGCACTGGATGGAATGAGACCATCATCGAAAGCCTCTTGGGTGAACTCAGCGTGCAGACAAGGTTTCTGGAGAAAATTCTCAAAGAAAAGCAAGAGAAGGAAAAACCGGCTTGGGGGACCGCCCCAACTACTTCACGCTTGAAGAGCTATTATCGGAGGGTGCAAAAGTTCCTTGAAAACAAGAGGTACAGCCGCTGCGCCTGGATGGTGGTCCGAGCAGAAATCTCCAGGAACTTTTCCATGATTCAAGGACTGACTAAGAACTTTCAGAGCTGATGGCTCTGGGACTGGGTGATGGCTGCAGGCAATCTTTAAGCATCAGAGACTCACTCTGTGACTGGTAGTGAATGTCCTGCATTTGAAAGGTCAAAAAAAGACTTTGAAATGTTATTTATAACTTAAATTATTTTTTTTACTCTTTATTTAAATTCTAACCTTGGAAAATAAAATATTTAGATACAAAAGTCAATATGGCAATTTAATTTCTACTGAATTATATAGCCATCTATGTTAATAATTGCTGGACACCTTTTACAAAGTGTTCTTTGTAAAGCACTCCTTAAAAAAAAATAGTTTCTGACCCCTGCCTCTGAGGGATTTAAAATCAAAGGAAGACACATGCATTACACAAGGTAAGAGATAATAGGAGTCCTAAAGCTTCTAGGGACGAGATACTAGTATTACCTGCTGTGGGCTTGAAAGAGGAAGTGGCAAGCAGGTGGCTCTGGAGCCAGAACCTGGGGTACTTTCTGCTTCTACTCTATTCTTGTGGCTCTGTGTTTATAAAGTTAAAACCTGGGTAGGCATTTGGGGTGGCCAGAGTTACATATCAGCTGTTGCATTTAGCCCAAAACCTTTGCTTTCAGAGGGGTGATCTGCTCCAGTGCGTTTATAAAAGGTGTATGTGCCTCCAAACCTGCAGAGGTACCCCCTAATATCTGAAAGGGCCTTTATCTTTCTCCTCATGATTTCTCGGGGAGGCTGAGGGTATCTGTATTTCCAGGGAAAGGTATCAAAGAGAGAGAAGTCTCTTTTTTATCCTAAACGTCTCAGTAGTCTCATCTTCCATTTACCTCTCGGAATTATCTGATCCTGGCCCTCAACTTTGTTCACACAGAATTCTGGGTTCGCCCTTCCAGGTTGGCTTTGCTCTGCAATTCCAAAATGGCACACTCTCAAAGCCAAATCCAGGATGGGTGTATCAACTCAAGAATGGTCTCTTAGTGGGAAGTGAGAAAATATGAGAGAAAGGGAGACAGAGAGCATCAATTTCTCCAACAACTGGCCTAGGAAAAATCTAAATTTTCAGAAAACGTTCTGGTATCTGGCCAGCATGTGCCAGCTGGCTAAGTTTTTGTCCCTGTACCCAACCCTTAGTAGCTTAGACTTTTATGATTCCTATTTCCACATTCAGCAGCTACATCTTAAGAGATTCTAATCAAACGGGCATTGTTCAGAGCACCTATGGGCACAATTGATTTGATCCACTTCACATATGCCTCGGGTAGAAATAATTCTGTTATTTCATGTTCTAGGACAAGCACAAAACCAAGTCTCAAAAAGACCTGGTAACTACTCCAAGTTCTTGTTGCTAATAAGTGGAGGTTTTCCGGAGGCAGTGCAGTGTGAAGAATCGTGGAAGTTACTACTTGAGGCATTTTCTCTTATAGCATCGAAAAAAAAAAAAAAAACTCTGAGAGCTTCATCTAAAAGAGGGAACCCTCAATTGAAGAACTCTGTCAGGGGACAAGCTACTACTTACTCTACTAACAGCCCAGGGCTCCCCTTTCTGACTCAAAGTGTGAAGCTATGGAGAGTCATCACAGTGAACCCGTACGCATGGGCCCAACACAATGAAGTGCCCTAGAAACAGTACTGAGTTCCTCCAGCTTCCTACCCCAGCGTTTCCAGAAGCTCTTTAGAAGGGCTGTCTTCTGCCCAGGGGTAAAACACAAGTTCAGCATATAGAAATGCACAGAACAAGCAGTGTCGAGGGCAGTCAAGAAAATGATGCAAATCGCTCAGCAATGGGGGCGTTTTGCTGTCTTCTCTGGGTCATACAGTAAAACTGGGAGAAAGCTATTTCTGCATAATTTAAAATATGATCCTGGCTGAGCTCACTAGCTATCTAGAATGCCAAAAGTATGTCCATCACCAGTGGGGAACTAGTGAAAATCCCCAAAAGATCAAAGCGCATCTCAAAAGAACCCTAACCTAAAGGGTGACATCTGCATATACTTAAACAGGCAACTGTGCATGGAAGCTGTGGTAAGGTGGTATTACTTTAGCTGATGTCAGCACACTCATAAGGATAAAACTCCAGGAAAATATCCACAGAGACTTGATATAGGAAGATAAACCTAGAAGTAGACCAACACAAAATACAGAAAAGCATCTATGTGGTGCAGTTTAAGTATCAGCACATTTGTGTTTTTTATGAATGGGACTTTTGTTTGTTCTAGAGCCCCCACGTGTGTGTTAATGTGTTTCTTGAAGGCATGAGTCAGGTACAAGGGAAGTTCAGGACCATTTTCTCATTTGCGTACCTTTCCTCTCTTCTGCTTTCCATCGCGGGACTCAAGTCTGAGAAAATGTGGCTGCCTCGTCTATAACTGTCCAGTCTCCAAAATTGGGAGCCAAAATAAACCACTCTTATTTACAAGCTACTCACTCGTGGGTCTTATGTTACAGAAACACAAAATGGTTTAAGATAGCTTGTTTCAGGGTGTTAATTTGTTTCGAGAAGAGAGACAGAGGAAACAACCCCACAAATTGCCTGGACATGTGATGCTCTCTGGACTAAGTCAGAAAGTAACAACTTCCTGGTGGAGACAGAGCAGACTCTTCAGAACAGGCAGTCTTACTGGAAACTCAACATTGTGTATACCGGCATCAGGACATTCTCTGTCATCTCCTCCAAACCTCCAGCAAAGACGGCTACCCAAGCTGGGCACGGTGGCCAGATAGAGTAACATTGTGAGACTCTGTCTCAAAACAAAACCAGTCAAAGCCCTTACATGTGCAGAACATATATAAACCACAGGAAGAGCCCAGGTCCACCAGTCAAGCAGTATGGGAAAAAGACCACAGTGGGGTGACCAGACCCTTGTAACAAACTAACCTTATGAAAACAGAAGACTGGGCAATAACAGAACACCAGCTCTCCCGTTACCTTCTGCCACCTCGGACCGCCATGCAAGGCATGAAGGCATTGTTTCTACACCTGTGGATTAGCAAAGGCAGCCTTATCAAGCTCCTGGGTAGTATGGAGAGCCTCAAAAATAACAGGTTGGGTATAAAGACAGAAGTGTTGCTTGGATACCTGAGCAGTGTGGGCATGTAGATGCAGGAACGTCTAAGCACATGTTTGTATTGCCTTTTTGTAGTTAACGAAAATGATATTTAGATCAGTTAAGTAGCGTTAAGCACTTTCAGGTACCCAGATAGCAGCTGCTGTAGATTTACTCATAAAATGATTTAAGAAAATAAGGAGCATGCCATGGACTGAGGAAAAAAAAAATTTGCCAATAGCTTATCTGCTAAAATGTTTCTATCCACACATTTTTTAACTTTTATTAATTACCCTTTATTCACTTTGTATCCCCCCATAAACCCCTCCCTCTTCCCCTCCTAATCCCCCTCCCCTCCCCCTTCTTTACTCATGCCCCTCCCCAAGTCCACTGATAGGGGAGGTCTTCCTCTCCTTCCTTCTGATCTTAGTCTAGCAGATCTCATCAGGAGTGGCTGCATTGTCATCTTCTGTGGCCTGGTAAGGCTGCTCCCCCCTCAGGGGGAGGTGATTAAAGAGCAGGCCAATCAGATTATGTCAGAGGCAGTCCCTATTCCCGTTACTATGGAACCCACTTGGACACTAAACTGCCATGGGCTACATCTATGCAGGGGTTCTAGGTTATTTCCATGCATGGTACTTGGTTGGAGTATGAGTCTCTGGAAAGACTCCTGTGTTCAAATTTCTGGTTCTGTTGCTCTCCTTGTGGGGTTCCTGTCCTCTCCAGATCTTACTATTTCCTACTTCTTTTAAAACATTCCATGCACTCTGCCCAACAGTTGCCATCAGGCTCAGCATCTGCTTTGATAGTCTGCAGGGCAGAGGCTTTCGGAGGCCCTCTGTGGCAGGTTCCTGACTTGTTTCCTGTTTTCTTCTTCTGATGTCCATCCTCTTTGCATTTCAGGATGGAGATTGAGCATTTTAGTCAGGGTCCTCCCTCTTGATTAGTTTCTTTAGGTGTACAGATTTTAGTAGGTTTAGCCTATGTTAGATGTCTATATGAGTAAGTAAATACCATGTGTGTCTTTCTGCTTCTGGGACACAGGGATTATCCACATAGTTTTAAAATACTCCAAAAGTTAGAAAATAGGCCAATAGAATGGCTAATGGCTAATCAAATAAAATACAGGAGTATCAAATAAATACATAGAGATCGTAAAGCCATGCCTGGAGACGTAGAGAAGGTCAGGCTAGAAAAGACTGTGAAGTGGCCAATTCCACCATGAGGGCCTGCTGTAGTCACTTCCCTTCCGTGGATGCCTGCCACGTCACGGGCTGCGTCTGCGTGGGAAGCGTGGGAAATTTGCTTGGTAAAGATGACAAGGTCCTAACGAATTTGGGTTTCTGTCATTTCTCTCTGAGTGTGAGAAGTGGAGAGGTAGCCAGCAGGAACGAGTAACTCACAGACACACTCATGCCCACCGCAGACATTTTCTCTAAGTCTGTCACAGCGCTCGTTGACCTGTAAAAGAAACTCTTTCCTTAGTTCTCCGTGTTGTTTTCAAAACATCGGTTCAATTGTCTTCAATACCCCAGGATTAATAGTTTTAAGCAAACAGCAGCACAGGACAAGAAGTGCCGTCCAGCTTTCTCTTAACTAATAGGAGCGCGTGAGTTACTTAACTCCTTACTTGATTTGATGGAGCGTACTCCAGAAACTGGTTCCCGCTGAACAGCTCTCCCCGCTCAGCACATTCTGCTTCACTTGTCGCTGTCTGGAATCCCTGCTGGTTCGCAAATCCCCGTGTGAGTTCTCTTAGAAGGCCCCAAACACTGCTGAAATTGTGGTCCCTCATAACTGACTTAACCTAAAACAAATACAGCACGCTCCAAAATGAACAGACAGAACACAGTGAAAGAATAAATCTTCCAGCCACATAGAACTGATAAGAGATTTGTATCAGTAAAGACTCTCAATCCTCAGTGGTAAGAAAGCATGATGACCCACTAAAAGATGGGCACGTTTTTGAACCACCAAAAGTGTCTC